TGGTTCATTCTCATTAAGCTTCTAATGGTACTGGTATCTCCTTCACAAGCAAATGTGCAACGGTTTTATATCCGGTCTGTGAGGGCCCCGAGGTGGCCATCTAGCCCTGTTTGTTGTGCATATAGAGTGTGCAGTATCACTTCTCATGTTAGGAAGTGAGTATCATGCTGTCGCAGCGATACTCAGTCTTTGCGAGGCACAATAACTGGTTGGACAAGTGATTATGTTTGCGATGTCTGCAGCTGTGCCTGATTCTGGCTAAGAGTTCACATTTACCTGAACTTGACTCTAGGGAGTTATAGTGGCCAAGGTTTGAGGGCTGTAGGACAGGTCCTTAGGGTTCATGTTGTTTTTTTTTTTCCCTTTTTCGCTTTCTAGCTGGTGTGATCGTCTAGGAGCACTACCCAACGTTGCTTTGAGGAATTTCATCACATACCAGCAAGGACCCTACTCTATTTAGAACTAGTTGGGGACTCTGAAAGAGGTTGGCTAAACCACTAAAGACAAAAGCTAATGCCTGTCTCAGACTCCTGGTTATTGTAGGCCTACTCTAGACAACTACTTACCTGCTGCCCCTCTACAGGCTTAAACCACTACTACCGGGAAGTTCGGTCATGCCTGTTACTACAGTCCACTGGGATGTACGGGCCTCACATGTCCGGACAGATTCAATGCCGAACCGTCGTGGCACTGTAGCGAAGGTCGGCACCATGACGACCAAAGGTCCTGGAAATACCGGCGCTTGAAGTAGCACTCCCCTATGAAAGTACATCTTCAGGGAGTTCTAGTGTACTGTTTTTACAGAGTTGGAGAAAGGGGAGGAAGGGGGAGCATGTCACAGCGTCACGAGAGGGAAGGGGAGAGGCCGGTGGCAAGGATAGTGTAGTGGCAGGAGAGGGGAAGAAGAGGAGTAGGGGTATATGTCATGGATGGGGGGAAAGGGGATAGACGAGTGTGGCACAATGTGGAGAAGGGGGGAGATGGGATGCAGCATGGTGAAATGGCGAGGGCTGGGAGAGTGGGAGGAGCATTGTGCAATGTTGGGGAGCAGACAGAAGGGGAGGCAGCGAGCATCAAACAATGTTGAGGACGTGGGAAAGAGGATACGAACAAGATGGGAGTGCAACATGACATCAGGGATGAGGAGAAAGATACGGGGCTGTTGAAGACCAGGTTCTAACAGCAGGAGAAGTCCAGAGACGAGGAGGAGGTTGGGGAGTTGAGATTGCAAAGGTGCAGGGGTAGAAGAGGAGGACATGGGAATGAGGTTGGAATGAAGGGTAGGTGTAGCATCCTAGGGGCTCCTACACGGGCCCTATCAGGCCTGACATTCCCTTATCGGCCCCCAGGCCGTGCTGACCAAGCTTTCCACCCCGGGCGCACGGGGTACCCCACCATGCCCGGCCGGGCGGCCCCCCCGAGCAGGCACCCGGACGCCTCTCGCACCAAGGCAGAAAAAGCAAAAAAAAAAAAGAATATTGCCGCAGCCCTATTCCAAACGTGCCAACTTTGTCTTCAGCGGTCGGCGCATTTTTTTTTGGGGTCCGGTAGGCCCGGTTTTGTAGGTTTTTAATTTTTTGGGGTATTCTGGTTGTCGATCTGCATAGATCGACGGTGCGCGCTGATATAGGATTCAAATTCGCCCCCTCCTGCACCCCCTCATACCTGTCTCTTATACACATCTAGATGTGTATAAGAGACAGGAGAGAGAGAGAGAGAGAGAGAGAGAGAGAGAGAGAGAGCTTGCCAGCTTGGAAGAACAAACATGACTAATAGCATGTGCACATCCTTGTGGTGGTGGGTTAAATAAGGGGGGGAAAGGGGAAGAGTGTGAGGAGGACATGGAATGGAAGCTAGGAGAAACAAGAAAGGCCAAAGGCAGAACTTGGAAAATGGAAGACTGAGAAAGGTAATGCAGGAAAAGAAAGCGAGAAGCTGGGAAAAGGAAGTGTGGAAGAGCGAGATGCAGGATAAACTTGGCGACACGATGGAAGCAAAGGCAGCCCTTTGTCGTTCTGGAAGAGAAAGGAAAAGGAAGTGGTTTGGGGATGAACAGGAGGAAGAGCTACAGGGAAATAGAAACGTGGGGGAGAAGGAGCAGCGGGATAAGTTGGTGGAGGATAAAGAGGAGGGAGAGAAAGAGAAAGAGGAGGAGGAGGAGGAGGAGGAAGATGATGACGAGAAGGGAGTGAGTCACGATGACGAGAAGGACGAGGAGGAAGGACGAAAGATGATGATTAGAACAAGAACGAGAGCAATGATGAGGATGGAACTGATCTCTGTGTGTGTGTGNCCCCCGACCCACAGAAATCAACGTACGTGAAAATAAAAAAAGAGGCCGGATTTGGGCATTACTCCCAAAGCGCAGCAATGTCTGGTGGTTGAAAAAAAAAAAAAAAACTTGGTGGGTTTTTTGCGTGCCCGGGGTACCCCGGGCGTGGTCCCTACCAGGCCGGGCGCCCCGGGAAAGCTAGGTGCTGACCCTTTTTTCTGCGCAACCTGTGGGCCATGGCCACATTTTCAGACGAGTTTCCCATTTTTGTATCTGCTTCCTTTTATTCGGTATTTTACTCTGCAGGTCACCAGGCGGCCCGGCTGGGGGAAGGTCGCCCGGGTATCCTCCCAGGCAGCCCGGGGCAGGGTCCAGGGTGTTCCAAAGCGCATAATATTAAGAAAATAGAAAATTAAAAAAATGCAAAACATCTGCAAAAAAATGTTGTCTAAAATTGGAATACAAACAACGTTTGGCTGAGGACCACCTCAAAATTCCTTGTTAATTTTAAGATAAAAATAAATGAGAAAACATGAGTCAAAATGTACCCTTTTGAACCCCTTTAGTCACTGTTTATACCCCCAACCCCCCTGGATGACAAATCACCAAAATCGAAGTTGAGACTGGATTCTGACTGCTTAGGCCAAGCACAGTCCTGGCCTGAAGGCTTTTTGTATTTTTTTGAGATCCTTGCCTCTTTTTTGACCCGTCTGGTTTTGCCGGGCGGCCCCCCCTCTGCCCAACTGGCCTGGGCGTGCCTGGCCGGGCTACGGCCCAGCATAGGTATTTTATTATTGATTCATTTATTCTATTTATTCTTTGCAGAGTGAGTTCAGGACTGAGCTTTGTCTGTTCTATTTCTGTCTGTTGCAGATGTGTCATTTTGGACTTTTCATTTTGTCTGAACAGGACCAGTGGACTTAGGAGTAGGCCGCAGTAGGCCAGGTTCAGATTTATCTGTATCTGTTGGACCAGGATTTGGACCTACGATCAGGACCATCAATCGACACTCGATCGGACGGTCCTGATTGCAGCCATGGGTCATTGAGCCAGGCCCAACGCTATATAGCTGGGCCGGTGCCCAGAAGTCGACATTCAGTTCCTGCTGGTGCATTTGTTGGGTGACGTGCTGCTGGAGAGCAGCACCAGGTTTCTCGAGCTGCGCTGGAGCAGGATCGAGGAGTAGGAGTTAGGAGGTGAGCAGAGGCTGGAGAGCACTAGCCATGGGCTAGAGGTGACTTCCCTGGGCAGCATAGCTGGACTTCGCTCCCCTGACCTGTGTTAGAGAGGACCACCATCGGTGCTGGTTAGTACGGCACCTTCATCAGCAGGTGAGAGAGAGGAGAGCCTTCATCTTCTTGTTCTCCTTCCGGTTTCTTCTCCGACCCTCAACAGTCCCTATCTCCTTCTTCTTCTTCTTCTTCTTCTTCTTCCTATTCCAGAGAGAGAGAGAGAGAGAGAGAGAGAGAGAGAGAGAGAGAGAGAGAGAGAGAGAGAGAGAGAGAGAGAGAGAGATTTCAGGCAGTGACAGTTTCGGGCTAGGTAGTGCCCAGGACATTCTGTGAGAGACGATTATTGGACATTCGAGAAGGGGAGACTTCTTTTTTGGTGACTTTCGAGTTTTCTTGGGCCTTCTCCCTTCTCTTTTCTCTTCGTCTTTCCCCACCTCCATCATCCGTGGTTTCTTCCCATGTGTGCATGCGAGGAGGGATCTTTGTTCCCTGTATGTCGCCCTGATGTCTGTGTGAGTCGAGTCTGAGTCTGACGAGTCAGGTCCCATCTTTGAGCCTTCTGCTGTGCTACATTGCATCATTTTTTTATTTTTATTTTTTTTCCCCCCCCCAGAACCTCAGGGTTCTGGCTCCTGCCATTCTGGGGAGCGACAGTCCGGTTCCTATTCCCCCGGCAAGTCAAATGGAATACATAAAAGACTCACGCACGCTCCTCCCCATTATGGCTGAGAGGCCCGAGCAGGCGGCATTGATTACTTCCCTGAGGAAGGATGTAACACCTCTCACCCCTGCCTAGTCTGTGTATTTCCCGTTC